TCACCAGCCTCACCCAACACGTGCTAATTACTGTTCCAACAATGTAATTAAGCCTGGATTTATGCACGCTGGCGAGCAGAGCCTGGCTTAGCTGAAGCAATGAAGTCTGGTAATAATGAGCTCGTTAATTGGCACAAGATGTAGTTTAGGATTCCATCAGCTGCACAATACCCGGGATCAGCACCAAAATTCACCACCCAAGACAAAATTCTCAGGTTTGAGATACGACATTTCTGCACACACCCATGGAAAGAAAAGCAATTCCTGAGGTGGATATTCCAGATTTCTGCTGGAATTATGGAAGCAGGTGCTGTGGAGGGACCAGCCCAATCCCAAATCAGCTCAAGCACACAGAGGGAAACACATCCTTGGCAAAAAACCCTGAATTAGGATCAGGAGGCTCCAACAGCCCTGGGAGCGGAGAGTTCCCCCACAGAATTCAGAAAAAGCACCAAGAAGAGTAAAACCCTCTGTCTGGGGAGCCTGAGGCTGAGATTTTGTGGGGTTTCAGAAAAAAAACCCACATTCAGTGAGCTTTGCACAAATGAATCCATCACAGAAAGAGCAGAAGAGCCGCTGCCAGAAAGGGCTGTGGAATTCTGGCAGCACAGCTCTCAATTCCAGACTGGAAGGTTTTCCTGGCCCTGGATGTGTGTCCCAATATGCTATAGGGTGTTCCAATGTGTTATAGGGTGTCCCACTGTGTTATAGGATGTTCCAATGTGTTATAGGGTGTCCCAATGTGTTATAGGGTGCCCCAATGTGTTATAGGGTGTCCCACTGTGTTATAGGGTGTCCCACTGTGTTATAGGGTGTTCCAATGTGCTATGGGGTGTCCCAATATGTTATAGGGTGTTCCAATGTGTTATAGGGTGTTCCAATGTGCTATAGGGTGTCCCAATGTGTTATAGGGTGTTCCAATATGCTATGGGGTGTTCTAATGTGCTATCGGGTGTTTCAATGTGTTATGGGATGTCCCAATGTGTTATAGTGTGTCCCAATGTGTTATGTGGTGTTCCAATGTGTTATGTGGTATTCCAATGTGCTATAGGGTTTGTGTCTCTCTTTCACCTCCAAAGCTGATTTTCTTCTCATGTTTCTGTGGCTGCTCCGAGCTCTGGGTTAAATCCAGCCGGGTTTCACTGCTCTCACCTTCAGCTCCCCTGGCCATTTTTCCTCAGAGATTTCCCCCTGTCCAGCAGAAAAACCCCATAACCCTGTGCTGAGGGTTCTGACAAGGGTGAGACACTGAAGGTCAGTGTGACGTTACTGACATCGGCTCCACGTTCACAGCACGGCTGACGGGGAGATTTTGTCACAGCAGAAAAGGGACATTTTGGCCAAAAACACCTCATTCATGCACTGGCAGCGTGCTCGGAACAGAGCTTTGTCACTCTGCCACCCCTGACTGCCACAAAAACTTCAGGGTTTGATTTAAAAATTAATGTGGCGATGACAAAGCTCAAAGACCAACGAGAAATTATTCAGCGGCTGAAAAAACTGAAAGAAATGACAGAGGATTACACCAGGCAGTGAAAATGATTCCCAAGTGTTTGTTTTCCAGGAACTGATGTCAAAATGTGCTTAACCCTTTCATTTACYGTGGCTAGGAAGCAGATGGCTCCTGGGGTTATTAAAACCAACCAATATTTGCTGAAACACTCGGCAAACCTTACAGAAATCCTGGTGTGTTTGGAGATGTGGCCAGGTCTCGGTGAGGGCTGCAAGAACAGCTTATTTTAAAATGAATAAATCTTAATTTATGTGAGCACAATTTGTGTTCTCCAGCCCACGCAGCTGATGGAAGCAGCGCTGCTTTTGGGCAGCAGCTCAAGGGAAGTTTTTGTTTTCATTTTCTCTGCTCTGGGGTGCAGAGGGCTGGGGGTGTTCTCAGCCTTGGCTCACAACGGCAGCAAAGGCAACGTGTCAGAGCAGAGCAGATCTGAGATCAGTCATGAATGAGCTCACGATGGAGCACAGTGCAGCGATTATTTACGGTCCAGGGAGCCCTGCAGGAGCCCGGGGAAGCCGTGACTGATCGTGCACAGCCCCAGGGCTGCAGGGAGGGATCAGCTCCTCTGTGCCCTCAGGATTAACCTCTCCTCTGATTCACAGAACCATTTCCACTGAAAAAACCTCTAAGGATGGACCTCCTGCAAAACCATGTTCATCTTTGGGGTTTTATTTACCTTTGAACTGTGTGCAGCGTGAGTGGGAAAGGGAAATGCCTCCAAACCAGTGACAAGCTGCTTTTCAGCACAGATCTGCTGGGGTGGTGCCTCCTGATCCATTCCATCGGATATTTATCCCAGAACAGCCCTTAAGGAAAGCCAAACCCCAGCACAACACACAAAAGATGCAGCAGAGCGGATGAGAAAATTCCAAGGGATTGCAGAAAGGTTTTAGGATTGGAAAACCCCACAGGATGGTTTGATCCCCCCCTAAACCACAGAGTCCAACCAACACCGATGAGAGCAGAGGTTTTGGGTGCAGAAAATGCCTTTTTGGGCTCACCTGGCGATGACAAAGAGCACACAGCTGACCCCGAGGCAGGCCAGGAGCACGTACATCCAAATATCCGGGGACAGCGGGTTCAGGAAGGAGAAAACGCCCGGGTTGGTCCCGTTGGGCTTGCGGTACAARATGCTGATCCCCAGCGTCATGAAGGGCTTGGAGAAGTCGATCACCTTCTCCCTGACGTAGGTGATGGTGAGAGGAGCCACAGCCAGGTCAGCTTTCTGCAACACACAGGGGACAAAGCTGCATCGCTGAAAACCACCCCAATGCCTCCAGCTCTTATCCCAGATGGGAAAAACAAACCAGAGCTGGCACTAAATCAATGAAATTTAACATTTCTAGGGTGAGACTCTGATTGCTCTTCCTACAAGGCAGAGGGAACATTTCCCCGACAGAGATTTCCCCCCAGCACCTCCAAAGCGTTCATTCAGAGGCTCCTGCTCTGCTGGGTGGCAAAACAGATGGACCAGAGTGAGTGAAAGGTGAAAAGATTTAATTTACAAACCCCCATGAGGGAGGAGAACAGAGAGAGAAGGGTCTTACATGATCAATGAGCTCCTTGACCATCCCGTTCCACTCTCCCTTGTCGTTCTGGGCCCCGTATTTGCCATCAGACACCAGCTTGACCTCGTAGATGAATCCCAAAATGTTGGAGAGCTCCTTGAGCAGGTCCAGGCAGTACCCCTCGAATCTGTCRTTGCCGTACAAGGGCTTGTCAGACTTCTTGTACATGACATAGGGGTCTTCCTGTAGGAAAAGGGGACACACAGAATGTGAGGGGGGCTCAGGTCAGATCAGATCCTCTGCACCATGGAAGGCTCTCCAAAGGGATTGCAAACACCAGGCTGTGTGCATTAAAAACTGCTGCAGGGTTGTTAACAAACTCACTGCAGGAATCAGTGATGAGCATGATTGTCAGTGGGATGGGCCATTGGTGGAGCTTTAACTCCAGATGTGCTCTGCAGCTCCAAAATCACACCCCATGGGACAGGGAGGGATAMTGATGGAGAAAAAACCCTAAAAAATAGAAAAACCCCATAAGGGGGGGAACCTAACAACCTCWAGTTTTTGAAAAATACATCTTTATTGAGAAAAATCTTCAAATTCAAATTCAAATCTTCAAAAATCTTCAAATATSTGCCCAACTCATGGAGCAAACAGCMGTGARTTGGGCRGATATTCACACGAGGGAATGGAGAAGAGCACAGGCAGATTGAGAGGGGCTGCTTCACTTTTTTGCAGGATTTTGGGCAGRAGAAGATCTGGGCCAGCATTTCATGTGGCAAAACACCTCTGGCAGGAGAGAACTAATGCAGAGGGAGCCTTTGAGATCTGTCCTCCTGAGGAACTGGGCAGAGCAATTGGAAAAAGAGCTGACATTACTGGGGAGGTGGAGAACACGAGGCASAGCAGCCCTGAACACCCAGCTGCACRTTTACATYCATAAAAATCATTTCACAATTAGARCAATAACCCAACATTTCTGYCTGCTGCTCGCTGCTTTCTTCCAGCCCTCTCTGTGTCATTTTCAGCAAAAAGGAAGGATGGATGAGAACTGAMTRCAAARTGGGATGAGAACTGACTGCAAAATGGGATAAGAACTGACTGCAAAGAGTTTGTGAGTGCTGGTTCTGCTGGGAAGAGGGTGGGCAGGGCTCGTTTGGGGACACTGGGGTGATGAAATCATTCTGGGGGCAGAGGTTTGGCATTTCTGAATCAGCCCCATGGATGTGAGAGTGGATTTAACCCAAATCCGAGGACTGGGGCTCCTTACCAGGATGGTGGTGACGATGAGCGTGCGGTTGGCCAAGGAGTCGGTGATGTTGGTGGACCTGTCCTTGTTGCTGTCCGTCATGTTAAGGCCACTGTAGGAGTTCCAGACCCCGATCTGCGCACAGGAGAGCGGCTSAGAGGGTGCCCYRAYCCCAAAAACCCCCAAATCCCCAGTCTGGGGGGTCTGGGAGCCTCGGGAAGGGACTGAGAGAAGGGCAGGAGCTTGGCTGATTCAGAAACCCCAGGAACGACTGCAAAAGGCACAAATGCCACTCCTGAGCTTGGCAGGGTGTGCTGGGGTGGCCAGCTGTGTTCTAAAGTGTGACATGTCAGCTTTGAGCCCTGCTGAAAAAAGGCAAATATCTGTTTTTATGATTTTTTAAAAACATTTTGTCAGTGGTGGAATCGAGAGACGTGGCAAGACCTCTCCCTTCTGATGGAGCAGATTAAAAAGCTGAAGAACTGCATTGTGCAGATTGATGGATGCTCTGGCYCCTCTCTCCCCTGTGCCTTCAGCAGGTTTAACACAGATTTTTCTGTCATTTCCCGACTCCTGGAGATGTCACGGGGATTCCTTTCCTCACCCCGAGCGGGGTTTGTTCAGCAAACATCAGAGGCCAAAGGCAAATTCCTCCCAAGCTCAGGGAGTGAAAACTCCCACTGTTTGCTGCCCCATCCAAAACCTGCAGGGAAAGGTCTTTGTGATTCCAGCGGATTTGGATTTGTGCCTTGTGGGGGCAGAAATCACAACAACGTTGA